GAGTGTGTGTACGTATGCGAGTGTGCGAGAGTGATGCGTGTGTGTGTTAGGTTATTTTAATGGTGGTCACCGACGCACTGCGACTCTATACAGATGAACAACATCCTGTCACGGGCACCCACAAAACTTGTATCCATATTATATTAATTTAATAAACGCGGGGTGGTAGGGGAGGGGGGAAACCCCCCGTACTGCACCATATGATTCCCTCCCCCCCCCCACCATTTCCTTAGTGTTTTAGTTTTCTCTGGGCCGGGTGCCCAGAGTTTAGTGTAGCTTCTGCACATAGGCTAGAGCCTTCAGTCATTTTGCGAGCTGAGTTTAGGTGAGTAAAGTTAGATTCGGTGACGACCCCAGCCACGGAGCAGAGGGAACGCTCACGCGCGCTCTCTTTCATGAAACAGGCAGCGTTAGCGCTCAGCGGGCACGGCCGTGCGCGTAACAAGAGTGCCGAGTGTCTCTCTAAAGGCCTCCACCGCCTGGGGCACGGACGCGCAATGGGAGAATGCGTCTGATGCAATGGCCCTGTCTGCTTGAGAGATGGGGCAGAGTGCTCGTGCAAAGCTGAAAATTTGGCGCCCACGAAGCCACGGAGAAATTACAAGACAACACTGACGGTGGTGACGAGGACGATGGCGTCGGTCAGAGCCACGGTTTTCCGAAGTACGGGCAGAGAATCTCTGTGAATGCGGCCGCTCGAAAGGAGCGGTCCGGGGCCGGCACTCGGCGGCCACTCAACAGAAAGCGACCTGTGGTGGTGAGAACCACGGTCAGAGGAGGGCCCACAGCCCCTCGCCTGAGGAGTCTGAGGGCCCAGGGAGAGTGCAAGGAAACTGATGAATGGGCAGAAGAAGAGTAGGAGGGCAAATTCTCAAGAGTGCAGAAGAAGCCTCAGAGAGTGCTAGTGAAAGACATGAAGGCGGTTATCTACCAGCGTTGGTGAGGGGGGGGGGGGAGAAGATCCTAAACCTTATTCAGACGCTGTCTTTCCGACAGACCTGTTCTTCACCTGAGGTCGGCTGCTTGCGTTGTGGCCGAAACGTCGTGAGAATTGTATTATTTTATTATGTTTTATTTTTATTATTTTATTATCTCCCTTCTACGTGACTTTACCGAAAGAACCAAGAAGAAGATCCTAAACCTCCTTGTTAGAAGGGGTCAAAGGGTCTAACCCCTGAGGTGGCCTGCAACACCTTGGGATCTCCCTCGGCACAGGTCCAGTTGGAGATTCTTCAAAAATCGGCCGGCTGCGAGCGGAGACCAGAAGGCCGATCGAGGGGGCAGGAGCCACAGCAAGGGTCTGCTCGTGGGTGACCTTGGGACACATGGCGGCGGCATTGTTAGATGATTGGGCCAGGCTCCGGATGCGGGCACTGCAGCAGTCAGTGCCTCTTGCAACAAATGCGACTCGGGAGGAGAGCTTGTGGCAGTATTTGCCCCGATCGTCACAGGCGGCGAGACAGGACCTGCAGTCGTAACTGCCAATGCCCCGAGGTAGGAAAGAGAAACCCGATAGGATTTTTTCCAAAGAAGCTCGTGATGTTAGAGACTGACGCCAGCTTGGCAGGCTGGGGGGGGGGGGCTGCTGCCAGAGGGGAGAGCTTTGCAGGGTCAGTGGTCGAGCGTGCAGAACAGTGAGAGGGCGTCTTGTTTCCTAGAGCTCGGAGCGATTCACCGAGACCTGGCGTGTGGCTCATGGAGGTGTAGCAGGAAAACGGGGTTTTTGTCAGATGCGGCAACGTTGACAGAATCAATATTTATACTGGAGGAATCCGATGAGCTCTAAAGCTTTTTTTCACAGAAGTCCAGTAGGGGCGGGTAAGAACGTGACAACAACAAACAGCAAGAAAGGGTCCCCTCGATTTGGCTGCTAGTGACAGACCTTTGTGGGTGTGTGGGCTTGTGTTTGGGTGCCTTTTTGTTCTAGTAAGTGTGTTTCCACACGTGCTTAAGTGTGTGTGTGCTGGCGATAGATGTTATCATATTATCAGATTAAACTTCAGCAGTCCCATACCCATCCATGCTCTGGGTATAGCCCAAGAATTATGCTCCCAGCCACCGCCGCTATTGCCCCTTCTCAATGAAGAGTGATGCATACGGAGCCGAGCGTTGGCATATCCCATTCATTCCGGTGTGCTGCGGCAAATACATTAACTCCTCAAGTTATTGCTCAGGGAATCGGCACAGGACCACATGGTCCAGGCAGTCCCAAGTGATCCTGGAGTTGCAGCCAGTGCAATGACGCTGCTGTTACATTCACATTTCTTTGGGCAGAGAGACCCCCAGTTGCCTGTAGGTGATGCCCGCGCAAGCTCGTTCGACGTGAGTGCTGCCAACGTCGCTCTGCGTGTGGGTGTGCGCCTGTGTGTGAGCCTGTGTGTGCGAGCCTGTGCGTGCGTGCCTGTGCATGCGTGCCTGTGCGTGCGTGCTTGCGGCTGCATGAGTGCTGAGTGTCGCTGCTGCTGCTGCGGGCAATATACGGCAATAAACTCCCAGCGACGCACATCAAGTGGCAAGTTGGGGTTTCACCTGGTCTGGGGAACCGCCTCCCCTAGGTCAAGTCGGCTGACGGTGAGCACCTGGTGAGGTATGGTGAGGTGTGCGGGCAGGCAGCGCAAGCTCTAGGGAGGAGGGAAAGCCAGTTGGGCGAGTGTGGCGCTGCCCCCCTCCGCCTCCCACCTCGTGCGGTCTTCTTCGGTGGGGTGTGGAGAAGGGCGCACTTCGCTAACTTAAAAGAAAAAAAAATACGTGGACACCGATTCGTTTCCTGGTTTGTATCATGTTGAGCCGAGTATAATCTCACGTGAAGGTTTTTGGCCGTTTTTTAAATTTAAACTGTTTTAATAGTTTGTTCAGACTTGTGTTTTTTTATGATGCTGTTGATGTATAATAATACTCTTTGGTTCTTTCGGTAAAGTCACGTAGATTTTTTTTTCTATCTACGTGACTTTACCGAAAGAAGCAAAGAGTATAGATTCCTGCAGTCACGAAAGCTTCAAATCAAGATTGCATAATAATAATATACCACCAACTCATTATGAATGCCCCAAACCCATCGGATCTCAGAAGCTAAGCAAGCGCATGCGAGCCTGGTTTGGTACTTGGATGGGAGAGTGACTGGGAATACACAAGGTGTTGTAGCCTTGCGCTGCGAGGCGGCCTACACAACAAATGGGGTCTTTAATCAATCCACGCGGAGGTTTTAAGTGTCGCCCTCCTCCTTCGTACACTTGGGTTTTCTCCGGATTCTCTCCCGTTTCCTGCCACGTGCCAAGCACTCATTAATGGAATTGTCCGAACCATCCCAGAAACGTTTTGGTGTCTCGGTGAGGCTTTTCTGGGCAAATAAATGGACGTTGCACACGTCCGCGTTGGTATACGTGCATCTGGGGGAGGCTATGGGGGGTGTTGGTGTCAATTGCCCATCTCGTGCTCGTGTCGGCTTCATGACAGTGAAGTCGCATGCCTTTGCAGATAAGCGTTGACAAGACGCATCGGGTCATTTTCTTTTTTACTCGCATACCGCAGAGAGCCTGGTGCAGGGTTAACCAGTTGTAGCAGAATGGGGGACGGGGCAGTGTTGTCATAACAGCCTCGTGTGTGGAGAGAGACTCTTCTTGTATCTTGAAAGATTAAGCTGAACTTAGCGAACGTTTACGTTTACAATAGGCGCAGATATTGTGGCCGTCGCCTTGTTTGTTTCATTACGCGTCCATTCGGCAGACGTGCTTTCTGTGAATGTTCTCTGAGGTGGCCTCAAGGCTTTCAGACTGAGTGGTGGTGTGAGTGTGTACATTTTAAGTTTTTATCGTTTCTTGGAAATTGGGTGGTGGGGGGGGGGGTACATAAGTTTAACTTCTTTCACACCGTACGTTGCCAACCGTGCTAATCGGAGGTTGCGGGTGGCTTTCTGTCGGAAGAGAAAACGAGATGTCTGTGGTTGACGTCGGAAAGTGGGGAAGGGGAAACGTAAAGATCTGAACCCGCATTTTTTTTGTCGTCGGACGAGCGAGGCTGGACCCGGCCACGGGCAGAGTTCCAAATGTCGCAGCTTTCGCAAAACGTGCCCTTCCGCCCCCTTCCCCCTTTGGTCCATGTTTACAAACCGTCTCCACTCGGGTGCGATTCGGACAAAGCCTGTCGATTAGCTGACACCAGAATATAGTGTCGGCGGTGGCGGACAGGGTGGGGGGGCGCGCTGGGAGATGCGATGGCAGCTGGACACTGTTGTTCTCGTGCCCGTGTCGGTACCACCGGTGGCACCATGGCAACCTCGCACTAACACGTGCGCGGGTGTTTTCGCGCGCGAGTCACGCGTAGGGGTGCGTTGCTTCGGCGACTTGTGGTGAAAACACGAATGGGCGTGGGTTGCCTGCGCGCGTTCGCAAAAGCAAAACAATTCTCCCCGTCCACGGGCAGTCTCTCGAAAACCACGATTCCCAGAAGCAACGGCGACCCACCGCTGCGCCTTCAGCGTGTGTCCCGTGGCGTTTGTGTATCTTACGGTTGTTGTGGTTGAGCTGCCTATTTGCAGTGATTTGTCTGGCCCCACACCTTGCCGATATAAGACTTAGTTGCTGTTAAGGACGATCCACCGGATATTGGATTTAAAATGTTAATATTCTATTTAGTTCTCTTATCTAAAATTCAGAAAGCGTTGATCTTTGATCACTACGGCGGAATTCATAGAGAGGTTGCATTCATGCCGATGTCTGGACTAATAAAATAAAAAAAGCCATCCAGCGGTAATAAATAGCAAAGGGTCTGTTTTGCCAAGTATAAATGAAATAACTTTTAAAGGGATCATCCAGCTGTGGATCACAGGGACTTGGTTTTTTCAGCAAAACTTAAGCAGCAAAGCTCGGGGAGAAGTCGCGTGAGCAGGGTATGGGCAGTCAAACAAAATGCTGCTCGGTTGCCTGCGCCCATGGGCCAGGTTTGCGTGCGCGTTGCGTGGGCCCCGTCCTGAAGTGCCGCTCTCTCCGGGTCGTCTTCCGCAGCCGGGAAGTTCCGCGCGTCGGGGAGCTGCAGCGCGTCGGGGAGCTGCACACCCTGGGCTCCGGCGTCGGCGAATATTTCCCATCGCGTGTGGCTCCGGACGACGCGGGGCTCGACCTGCGCGGCGGCGCCGGCGGTGGCGGCGGCGGTGGCGTCTCGTCGAGCGAGCGGAGCCAGCTCGTGGGCCTCGACCTCTCCAAGAAGAGTCCGATTCGTGACTCCCGCTCGTCCTGCGGCGGCGGTGCGGAGCACGCGGACCGACTGCACTCGCCGACGCCCGCCCCCTCCGGCGCCGACGGCTACGAGGGCCGCGGCTCGGGACTAGGCGAGGCGGAGGCCTGCCTGGGCCTCATCCGACGGACGGCGCCGTCCCCGCTCGGCAGCGGCGGCGGTGGCGGCAACGGAGGCGGCGGAAGTAAGCTGCCCGTCTCCAGCGGCGCCGCAGACGGGCTGCCACTGCCTCTCAACACGAGCTGGCTCAAGCAGGAGCCGGCCGAGCGGCCGTGCGACCGGAAGGATCAGGTGAGTGCCTGGGGCGGAACTCGCGACGAGGTTAAGAAAAGAATATCGGCAGCGTTTCCTGGGGCAGAGACACGGGTGCATTTTGTGTGCACGTACGCTCTTTTGCTCTCACAGCTCCAGGCGAGCGGTCAGATTTAATCTTTGTTTACCCACAATTTTCACTCGGAGAAAATATTACGTACATCCTGGACCTTCTCTGTCAAATTCCATGGTGTCCTGTCTCTCTCCCCTCCCCCAGACCCTGCCCCTTCTGCAGAAACATAGTGAATTAAATGAAATGTTTTGTCCTACATTAATGTCGGGCCCCCACATCTCCTATGAGGCCAGCTCACTCTCCTCAGCGATGCTGTCCAGCCCTCTGCACGAGCACTGGGTGTGCGCATTTCTGGGTGATGAATATCCGAACTGGCCCTGGGCCTCCCCTAAGTCGACTGAGCCATAAATGAGTACCTGGTTGCGTGTGTAAATATAAGAATTAGGGAGACAAAGGGAGCTGGGCATGGTGCTGGTCGTGTGCCCTAACCGGCCTTAATAGGTTCGCGCACTTGTCACGACAGTCTGTTGAAGGCTATATAGGGGATCTTTAGCTTTGTATTTGTGTGTACGTGCGTGTGTGTAAATACGCTTCTCACACAGGACCTGCACCATGGGCCATCAGCTCAGGGCGACCACAAGACCCCTCCGAACTCTTGGGCCGGGGCGTCCGGCGATGACGACGAGGTGCCCGTGCCGCCAAGCAACGGCGTCGTCGTCTATTCGGGAAGCTCAAAGTCCGACGGCGGTGGAGGAGGCGGTGGCGGCGGCACGGGGCTCTACCAGACGACACGCTCGCTCCTCGGTGTCGCCGCCATGGAGGAGGACGACGACGACGATAACCGCAGCCTGAACGACGAGAGCGGGATGAGCGACACGGGCAGCGGCGGCTCGGAGCCCGGGCTCGAGCGCTACGCCCACTGCAACCACCACCACCGGCACGCGGCCGCCTACGGCGAGCCCGACGCCTTCGGCGGCGACAACCTCTACGTGTGCATCCCCTGCGGCAAGGGCTTCCCCAGCTCGGAGCAGCTGAACGCGCACGTCGACACGCACACCGAGGAGGAGCTCTACCAGCGCGAGGCCGGCGGCGGAGGCGGCGGAGGCGGCGGAGGAGGCGGCGGCTGCGGCGGAGGAGGCGGCGGCTGCGGCGGCGGCGACGACGACGACGACGGCAGCAGCGGCTGCGCGGGAGGCGGCAGGGGCGGCGGCGGCCCTCCCTCGGCGTGCGGGGGAGGCGGCGGCGGGGGGCCCGGCGGTCTCGACGCGGGCTGCGCCGACGACTCGGCGGAGGCGCGGCCGTACCGCTGCATGGCGTGCGACCGCGCCTACAAGGACGCGGCGACACTGCGGCAGCACGAGAAGACGCACTGGCTCACGCGGCCGTACCCCTGCGCCATCTGCGGCAAGAAGTTCACGCAGCGCGGCACCATGACGCGCCACATGCGCAGCCACCTGGGCCTCAAGCCATTCGCGTGCGAGGAGTGCGGCATGCGCTTCACGCGCCAGTACCGCCTCACAGAGCACATGCGCATCCACTCGGGCGAGAAGCCCTACGAGTGCCAGCTCTGCGGCGGGAAGTTCGCGCAGCAGCGCAACCTCATCAGCCACATGAAGATGCACAGCGCCGGGCAGGCCATGTGAGGCCGCCCCCCCCGCTCCCTTTCTTTCTGGACCCCCCCCCCTTCCCCTCCGGCGCAATGGGCTGTGGTGGCCGGCGCGTGGAGGTGAGCGAGCTAGCCGGTGAGCCCGGCGCGTTTGCATCGGGCCGAGTCTGTGAGCTGGCGAGCAGGCATCCGCAGTTTGTAGGGTTTTCGATTAACCGTCCGTTTGTCATCGGCGTTGCCGCTGGAACAGATTTAACCTCGTGACACTGCGCCAGCAGCACCTATAACCTGATTTTAAGAAATCCATGGACCAAAATTTACGATGGTTTTTATATGCGTTATTTTTTTTTATATGAGTGTACGTCCCTTTTAAAGTAACATGTTAAAGGTTATAATTTTACAGGTGTTGGGCTGTCATAATTGGGCTTGGTGCATTTTCGTTTTACGAAAACGGTTAATTAATTTTAGTGATGTCGATTTGTCCTAAAAGATCGCTCTGAGCGAACGGCTCGCATATCGTGAGATGTCATTAAGGCTCGAGGGGGTGGTGGGGATGGGTAGGTGGAGGGTCTTGGTTGCCGTCTGAACCAATCGAAGTCATCGCCACGTGAGGCCTGCGCCAACCAACAGGTGTGTACGGTCATCGTGCGCAGCCCCAGCTCACCCGCCAGCTCACCCGCCAGCTCACCCGCCAGCTCACACGCCACCACCTCCAGCCGCCGTTCCATGGCATCGCTCGCCCTCTCTCGCACACACGACCCCCGCAACTCAGGCAGGAGGCGATACAATGCCACTCTTTAAAAAACATAAAAAGGAACAAAACAAAGAGGTATTTTTTGTTGTTGTTTAATGGCCGGTGGTTTGCATGGGACCAGTGGCTGACAGGGTCAACCGACGCGAGGGGTCGGATCGTCTTTGAAAAACGGGAAGAGAGAAAGAAAAAAAACGAAAACTTGCCCCGCTTTGCCCGAGGCGCGGCGCCGCAGCAGACTGTGCGGGCGCCCGCCGGCGGGGCTTCCCGAAGCTTTGTGCCGGTATCGCCAACCCCTCACCGTGTCCTCTCGATTTTGACCAATGAATTGAATCTGTCTTTTTTTTTTCTTTGCACATTCCTTTTTGCAGGCTTTAAAAAGAAAAATAACAAAAAACGGGAACAGCTTACACTACCTGTGACGTAGTGAGGTTTTTTTTTTGTCTTATCTGTTTAATCTCTGTTACGAATGGTATACGGTATATATATTTATATGATTGGAGGCCCTACATTGACTCTTTGACAGGCACTCTGTGTAAGTGTATGTGACTTGTAAACTAATTTAAAATGCAGGAGGGAAGAGTGGCTATACAGCAGAAATAATGATCATGGTAAAGACGCACACACGTCTACGTGAGCCTACCCGTGTACTGTACACGAGCGTACAGGAACGTTTGTCCCCCAGGTGAATGCGCACGTAGAGTGAACTCGGGCCATGCTTTTCCCTTGCAAAGCATCTCCTCTGTCCGCCGCGCGCACGAACGTACGTGTGTGCAAACACTCAACGGCCAACACCAATAACGAATATTCGAAGCGATCCTTGGCCTCCCGTAGTTCGACTCAGCCTCAAATGAGTACCCAGTAAGACGCGTAAACATCGTACCAGAGAGACATAGGTGGCCGAACATGGTGCTGGCCACCGACCCCCCACCTCGTGTGCCGTGCCCGCCTTTATAGATGCTTGATAACAGCACTTGTACCAACAATCTGTAAAGTCAAGATTTAATCTGTAAAGGGGTGGGGATATTTGTCTATGCACATAGATGAATGTGGAGTGTCTCACTCGCTGCGCCATGACTCCGGCCACCTAGCTTCCATTTCCCTGCCCTTGCACAATTCCTCTTGCAATTGGAATCTTAAGCCTGACCTGGGGGGGGGGGGGCTCCCTTCGGTTAACTTTTCCTGGTGCTGTGCAATCGAACATCGGCACCTGGCAGACAAAGGTGGTGGCCGAGTTTGTGGCGCTGACCACCACCACCACCACCTTATTTGCAGCGTTGGTCCTGATAGATGCTCGCAGAAAAAAAAGCACTTGCCACCAACATTCGTTTTGGCCAAATGGCTTTTGTACATGAATCATAAATGCCACTTTATAAAGGTTTGAATTGGTAATTAATATGATGTAGCACAGCACTGAAAAATTGTGTGTGTGTAGATAGATACACGCACGCCCAAACATAAACATACCAATTATATGCAAAATTATTTCTATAATATACGCTTTGCGAGCAGAAGGCTCGAGATGACGTCTATAAACCCTTGAACACATGCTGTACGTCTGTGAATATATGTATGCAGGTATACATATATTTATATATGTGCAGTGTAACATGCGTGGCGGGCACAAGGCATTTTGGTGCATTTTGGTGCAAGGCCCCGGCTCCCGAGCAACGAAGGCCGTCCCACGGGACACGCAGCGGCTGATGTCATAACGAGACACTCGAGGACCCCCCAGACCCTTTCTCGTCCTCCGCTCGCTCGCTCGCTCGCTCGCTCGCTTCCTCGCAATCGGGGGGGGGGGGGGGCGTAAAATCATTGACTGCAAAAAAATTCAGTGAACATTGCGATGTAAAAAGTATATATATATAGGATACTCTCGCTCTTTGCAAACGGTAATATCAAGACGTTTTGAATTTCTACAAAACAAAAGGTGAAATATTCCTAATGTTTGTCCACAGGACTCTAAAGAACGTATGTTCACTGGTTAAATTGAAATGTGTACAAAAAAAATGTTTGTCGAGAGATGTTTTCCTAAATAGGGGAACGATGTTTCGGTTACAGTTAAAACTGTGTCGTGTTCAACATCAGCACTGGCTGCGCGAGCGTGGAGCTTCTCTCCGGCTCTTGCCGAGAATCCGGCACGGGGGGGTGGTGGCGATCACCACCCCCCCTGCCCACCCTCTCCCCACCCCCCCGCTTGCCAACGCCAAAATTGGCGCCTACCATGATCATTATTTTCTGTGGCGAAAGTGACGAAAACCTGTTCTTATTTGCAGTTCATTTTTTTTTAATCAATGTCCTAATGTCTGTATAGTCACTTAGAGGAAGAAGATTTGAAAAGAAAAAAAACTATTATTAATAACAACAATTATCAACTGTTGACCAAAACGCCTCTGGATCAAAGCAGTGATGGCAGGCTCATGATAAGGATGTAAAAATTGCGAAGGATAATAACGAAGGTGTATATTTTAGCATGCTTTTTCTCGTTTGTACGTACCTGGTTTTTTGCGCGCGTATTAGCTTTGTTCTGTGTCTGTTTTTTGGTAGCGGTGACAGCCGGCGCGGTGTCTGTGGTGTTGTCTTGACAGTAGCATGGTTCTTGCACAGCACTTATGTTGGATAGCTGCTTAGTAATGCAGTACGTTTTGTTGGCGTATAACGTTATGGGTCCTCTGCTCTCTCTCTCTCTGTCTGTCTCCGTCTCTCTCACTCACCCTCAACACTCTCCTATAATTTTAATTTTTTTGTTAAATAATTATTCTTAATGATATTTTTTGTTGTTTTCTATTAAGTTCCCCTTTCTCCCCTTCCCTTTTATTCCAAAGCCCACACCTGACCCATCGCAAGCAAACCAGCTGCTTTAAACCCTTTCCAAACAATACAACACTTACCTTTCCGAACGGCGGGGAGGAGAGTTGCCGGCTGTGTGCACCGAGCGCGGGGTGTTGGCGTGTGTCGTTCGTGCGTGTGTCGTCCGTGCGTGTTGTTATCCGTGCGTTGTTCGTGCGTGTGTGGGAACGGTTCCGCCGTTCTTCCCAGCGAGGCAATGCAGTCGTACCCCCCCCCGCCACCGCCGCCCCCACAAACTCTGGAGCTCGCCCGCCCGCCACCGCCGCCACGGGCTGGTGTGGCCAGACCTCCGTAGCTAAGCGTGCTCCTCACTGCCAAATCTTGGCGCTTGCGGGCGGGACCCCCCCCCCCCCCCTTTAACGCAGATTTTGCGTTATCGACGCATATTTTTCTTTTTTATCCGCAGATTTCGGGTGGCGGTTTTTACTCCGCGCCTTGGGCTGGGGCCAGGGTATTGGGTCGTGACGCCGTCATTGAGGTAGCAGACCGCTGCCGACGTTTGCTTTAAAGAGAAAGAGAGAGAAAAAAAAAACCTAAAAAATTATTTAAAAACAAAATGAACCAAAACTCTTCGTTGGAGGGCATTATACAAACAGGGTGTGATGAGGTATTTTAGAAGAAGAGAAAAAAATATTGAGAGTCATATTTTGTAATAAAATGTCAGCTTTAACTCTGGCAGCTAAATTCAGCTGCAAAGTTGTCCAGCTGTTTACAGGAATAACGTTTAAGGAGTTCGTTTTAGTTTGCGTCTCATTGTCACTTTTCATTTTAGCCATTGCCGTCAAAGAACTTGCGAGAAAGATAGGCTGTTATACCGATAAGCTTTTTTTTTTTTAAACAAAATGAAAACAAACTCTACCTCAGATCTTAAGCTTTTCATGTCTTAAATGTGTGCAGCGGAGAGCAGTCTACACGATTATATTAGCTTTCATTTTTTTTTGTCCCCCGTGTTGTTGTCTTCGAATGCCTGCCGCTCAGTTACGCACGACCTCGCAAGCGAATCGCTCTCTCCTCACGTGCCGCTGCCAGTGGATGTACAAGGTGTTGCCCTGACACTTAAGAGGCCTTGAACTTTTTGGCGTTTTGAGTATTGTGTGTTTTAAATGTAACCGTGTCACAAGCAATATAGACACCAGACGTTACAGAATGTTGAATCGGATTCCGTTAAATCGTACAAAAAATGGTATGTAGAGATATCGGTCGTATTACGGAGCAAACGAATCACGGACCATAGACTAACAATTAAATTAAACTTGCCATATTGTAAATTGATAACGTGTATATAATATTACAAGTAGGGTAAACACATCTCCTGTTGTTTTAACCGCCTTCGTTACAGTTGTTAGCTTGTAATTAGAAACAATTGAACTCAAACGAGTTTCCAGCCAAAGGGGGGACAGACTGCTTGCATTGCATCGCTGGGTTCAGTGTGGATTGTGTTGAGTGTGGATTGTGTTGAGTGCGGATTGTCTCTGGTGTGGTGCTGAGCGTGGTGGTTGTGGCCGAGTGGGGTTTGTCATTGAGCGTTTTTGTTTGGCGTGTTTCTGTCTCGGTGTTATAATATTTGTCGTATGATTTGTCTGTGTTGTGTTGAGTGTGGTTTGTGTTTCTATTGTGATGAGCGTGTGGTCTGTATCTTTGTTATCTTGCGTGTGGTTTGTGTTGAGCTTGGTTTGTGTTTTTCGGTATTGTGCTGCGTTTGGTTTGTGTGTTGAGAGTGGTGGGTGTCTCAGTTTTGTTTTGCGCATGAATTGTGTTGAGACCGCGTGTGGTTTTTGTTGAGCGTGGGTTTCGTGTCTCGGGGTTGTGCCGCGTGTGCTTTGTGTGTTGAGCGTGGGCTTGTGTCTCGGTGTTGTGCCGCGTGTGCTTTGTGTGATGAGCGTGTCGGTGTTGTTGCTGAGCGCCGGTGACTCGGTGCCACACACCCGTGCCACCCTGCCGACCCTTCGCCACGCCGCGGCGTCTCGATTAACACGATGCAGGGATTTGTACGACTTTGTGGGCTCAAGACATTTTTTTTGAAATGCAGTATTGCAGCTCGCTGAAGTCTTCTGCAGGGATCTAGAGTAGAGAAACAAAACGAGAGGGAAGAAAATAACACTAGTCCTTATTATTGTGTACGTACTTTTTATGATAAGAGTTATGGTGGCGGGGTGAGGGTTTGGGGGGGGAGGGTTTAAAATTTTACGTAGTTCTCTTTAACGTTTTAAGATGAAATATTTCTCAGTGTTACATAACCCAGCTCAAACTTCAAAACTGTTTAGCAGCTTCTGTCCAAAACCATGGGTGAATTTTTTGAACCAAAGTTTTATTTTTTTGAAATCGAAACCTCATTTTTATAAGAACCAAAAAAAAGTTTACAGTGTATTTTTTAAAAGAAAAGTGGTAGCACTCTCACTAACCGACATAAACGCCGTGACCTTTTTTTCTTTCATGTTCAGGCCAGAACCACGCGGAAACAGTGTTTTCATCGATTACTCTCGGAATTTAGTTTTTATTTCACATTATTTTTCTCCTCACGTTCCTTCGGGTTTTTTTTTTTTGCTATCAGTGAATGTATTTATTGCACGGTTCGTTCTGTGTGGAGGTTTTTATTTTAAAATTTTCTGCTTCGTTCATTGTTTTTGTCTGTTACACAACACACACACACACAAGAGATACACATTCAAGTTTTTATTCACAGTACCTTACCTAGCCATAGAACATATCAGGGGAACACAGAATGTAAAACCAATAAGAATAACGGAGCCGATCACACTTTTTTATAACGCTTTAACCACGTTCAACTTTTGCTAAAGCACACTTCAAAAATGCCTCTGGGTCACCTCAACGGAAGAAGAAAAAAAAATCTACATTTGCTGAAATGTTTCGCACGAGTTTAAAACAAAACAAAAAACCCAGGTGTTGTATTGTACAATAACAACGAAACATTACTTTTTTTTGTTTTACAATTATTTTTTGAAAAAAAATGTTTTGCGTTTTCAAAGCTGTAACTGCGTGTGTACAAAAAAAACAAACCACAAAGGGTATATATATAACGAATGCGCTAAGTTTAAGGGGGAGTTGTAACGAAGCAAACCAAAATAGTGGCAGGTTCATTTGCGGGCCCGATGGGGGCCCTCACCCCTCCTGCCCCCGCGCGTTGTGTTGCCGGCCTCCTCGGCCCGAGAAAAGCTTTTTTTTACCCCGTGGTGGCCATGGTGGTGGCCATGGTGGTGGTGGTGGCGGCGTTTGTCATGGTTCAGCACCGTCGTTAAGCGCTGGCCGAAGCCATCCCCCCCACCACCACCACCACTCTCCCCTATCCGTTTGACGCTTGAACAGACGGGGGCCCCACGCGATGGTGATGATGATGATGACGACGACGGTCGTGTGTGACCACGCGAATGATCGGTGTCGCGACGCTCGAGGCTGCCTGTGGTGTCTCTCTCTGTCTCTCGTCTTGTACACGCGTGGCTCTGGGGGCCCCCTCTCCCGCGGACGCGTCTTCCCCGCGACCGGACAGGAGCGTCAGCCTCTCACGGCCCCCCTCTCCCCACACCACCAATCGCCGTGACTTTGGCCCCAACTCTCGACAATTGCCACGTGGCCCCTTCGCTCTATCGCGACGTGGAACGCGCGCGCTCGCAACCGTCACAGCCTCCTCGCTCGCAAAACGAAGCGATGAGAAATATTTATGAATTGGCGGAAAATTGAGAAGTTCTCACCCTACCCCACCCTACCCTCTCTCTCAAAATAATGGAGTTGGCCCCCTTTGAAACGGGTTAATCTCGACGGGCCATGGCATTCGCGCACGTGGGCCAGTGCGTCTCCAGAACGCGTTGTTGTACGAGCCAGTGACACGCACGCGTGCAGCGGACGAGCGATGTTGCGTTGTAACCGACGATGGTGCTGCTTCTGCTGCTGCTGTTGTTGATGTTGATGATGATGTGGGTGGTGAATGAGGTGGTGCCGGGCAGTGGAGGAGGATGAGGGGAGGCCACGTGGCCGCGGTTTCATGCAGCCAGAATCCTCAAGAAGCGAGCGCTCGTTCGAGAACTCCCAGCTTCACGAGCAACGTGGTGGGGGTGTCGTGGGGGGCAGTGACCAACCTGGGTTCTTTACACTATGAGACCTCCTTTACCAGTGGCAAAATATAGTAATAGGTTTTACCCTTTTGGCGTCATCTGGTCCAACACCCAATGGAGACTAGGCTCTAGAAAGCTGTCTCGGGTGTGGACCAATCAACTTCAAGGACAGTGCATATCATTATCATCATCAGAGTTGTTTCTTTTTGTTTGCATTTTGACTGCTTGTGTTGTGGTTATTGCAAACATGATGCCTTGTATAAAGGTGTCAGTTTTTGTACCAGTTGAAAGGGTAAAAACATATTACTATACCAAGCAGGGTGTTGGGGCCACAGTGTGTCCGGTCCTACCGTCACGTCCTCAATAGACGCGCCACGCACGTTGGGTTAGACGCGTTCGACCACAAAGCGCCCAGCCACAAAGGCAAAACAATCACTCACTCCCCCCCGTCTCACGGCTCACGGGGGTCACTTCGCATGACGGACTGCAGGAGGGGTGGTGGGCACTGCGTTGACAAACACCAATCTAGAACCGGCAGAATCTCTATTTGGGCCGGAGGAATCCGATGAGCTCTAGAATAAGCTCTTTATCGCGGACGTGCCAAGCCCCAACACGAACCCTGTACAACGCAACCCGATGCATGGGCCGCAGCTCAATGCCACGGCCTCCACGCGTCCCAAAGCTCATCCCCAAAACATTAAAAAAAGGCACCGCAAACGCCGCAACGCTTTAAGGAGCCCAAATACGCCCGCTCTGTAAATTGTCTCCACAAAAGAAAACACCACACACACACACAAACCACTGCTACTAATCCACTCACAGGCCAGAGATTGTCGCATCGCTCCAAATGTGATCGACAACAAACAACGAAAAGACGAAATTTCCGCTCCCCCCGAGGTGAATGTTTACCTCCGAAAAAAATCTGTCGGTTCGGCGGGATGTGAAAGGAGGACGCGGGGGGGGGGGGTGTATTCAGGCACTGTTGGATTTGTACAGGGCATGAAGAAAGAGTCTTGGAGTCTTGAAGGAGGAGTGATGGCTGGGCGTAGGAGGTGCCGCATGGGCAGCGAAACAACATGAATTGGGGTACCGCATGGGGCAAGCGAATGGGAGGGCCCAGGTGGGACAAGGAGTGGGACCGGGTAAGGAAGGTCACGGGGCAGGCTCAGGGCTTCTATCACCTCGAGACGTCTTGCGTTCAGCTCGGTGTCGAGTCAGATTGTGTGGCACGGAGAGAGGCGATACACGCCGTTTGAATTGGAAATCTCCGCCAGGAGGAGGAATGAGGAGACGCAGGGGTAAGCAGCAGGAGGAGAGGAGAGAGAAGTCGGTGGCAACCGCGACAACCCCAATGAACGCGCTTCGCTGGGTTGTTAGCGTGGACGGGCTTAGCTTGGCTAGGGAAGGGTGGAGACACGGGGGGTGGTAGTGGCGCGTCTTTTTTAGGAACTTGACGGTACCCGAACACACGAAATGCCCTGGCAATGTGAGCGAGCGCCTGGGGTCACCGGTGGTGTGTGGGGCATGCGGTGTTCGAGGATATTTGGGGGTGGGTTCAGAGTGAATCGCAAACAAAAAAAGAACGGGGTGGCCATTATATATTTCAACAATAACATTCAAAACCTCCACCCGGGGCTCGTGAATGCTGGCGAGGGAGCACGGGGGCGAGCAGAAACCAAAACTTCCACGTGGACTCGCACGTGGTGGCGGTGATAATGCACCACACCCACCCCCCTTCGTGCGCGTCGATCAGTGATCTCCAGAGGTTCCACTCTCCAAAGTTTCGAAAAATAACGAGTGACAGGTCACCCCTTCCCCTCCCCTCCTTCTCCTCCCACCAGCACGGCCCCGGCGCTGTGAGTCGCGTCCACGAATAGAGCCGTGTGCAGGTTGTTGGTGGTGGTTGTTGTTGTTGGTGGTGGTTGGGTGGGCGAGGTGCTCGGTGATTCGGTATCGTCCGTCTGCCGCTGTACGCCGTGGGTGAAGGACGAGCAACGGTCGGCACTGGGTTGTCCACCACCACCCCCCCCCCACCTCTCCCCACGAGGGCCGTGGTGGGGCCGGGACACCCCCCCACCGTGACCCCCCCCACCGTGACCCCCCCCCCCCACCGTGACCCCCCCCCCACCGTGACCCCCCCCCCCCCACCGTGACCCCCCCCCCCTATTTGCGTACGGCTCCCTCCACAACCCCCACCGGCGCGGAGCAGACGGAGCGGAGCCGCTCGGTACAGTGGCTAATTTACAAGCGAGAGAGCGGACGCCTCGTTTGCATATAAATGGGGGGCCGATGAGGCGACACAGCGGCTGGTGGTGATGGTGGTGGGGGTGGGGGGGGGGCTCTCCCTGCGGTTCACGTCACATGGGGGGAGACGACAGCCGGGGGAGGGAGGGGGGAGCCACCGGCGATTGGTGGAGCCCCCCCCCCCCCCCAACGCACATCCCTCCATCTATCCTCCCTCCATCCTCCTCCCTCCATCATCCTCCTCCCTCCTCTCTAATTCTGTGGAGTGGCTCCCCCGCTCGGCGCTCACCCCGCGCAGTCCCTGGGTGAGATCCGTAATTACTGGGGATGGTGCGCGCGAGACACCTGTCCGATAGAAATCTGCGGAAGCCGCACGCACGCGCACGCACGCACGTGCTGTAGCACATTCAGCCCTCGATCCTTGCCAAATGTTTAGTCGGGGGGGGGGGGTAGGGGGGGTGAGCCACTGGATTGCCCCAGTCGAGAGCAATCATCGCCTGCATTGGCAGCGCCGTGAATCCCAGCGACGGCAGTGGCTTTGGTTGGGTTCGGTGAGCCAAATGTCGTGAAGCCACTACGGCGAAAGCGTGACTTGGTGATGGGGCGGCTGCTGTTGGCGCTGGCGAGTGAGGATGTGGCACTCGGACCCCGTTTGTACCCCCCCCCCCACTACTGCCCGCACGACGCTGTGGTAATCGACCCCCCTCCACACGTTATTATGGACCGACCGATGGTCGATTCCATTCATAGAATTGAGCGGGGACTGGGGTATATCAAACGTCCCTTCGATTAGTGATGGCATGGTGTCAACACAGTGTGGGTGCACGCATCCTCCGTGTCTCTTCACTCATCCATGTTACCCTCCTCTCTCTCACTCCATGCCTCTCACTCTGTCCAACTCGCTGTCTCTCTCCGTATCTCTCACTCCACGTCTCACACTCCATGTCTCTGACTCCACGTGTCTCACTCCACGTGTCTCACTCCACGTGTCTCACTCCACGTCTCTCACTCCACGTCTCTCACTCCACGTCTCACTCTTCACGTCTCACACTCCACGTGTCTCTCACTCCACGTGTCTCACTCTACGTCTCTCACTCCACGTGTCTCACTCCACGTGTCTCACTCCACGTGTCTCACTCCACGTCTCTCACTCCACGTCTCACTCTCCACGTCTCTCACTCCACGTGTCTCACTCCACCTGTCTCACTCTCCACGTCTCTCACTCCACGTCACACACTCCGTGTCTCACTCCACGTGTCTCACTCCACGTGTCTCACTCCACGTGTCTCACTCCACGTGTCTCACTCCACGTGTCTCACTCCACGTGTCTCACTCCACGTCTCTCACTCCACGTGTCTCTCACTCCACGTGTCTCACTCCACGTGTCTCACTCCATGTCTCTCACTCCACGTGTCTCACTCCACGTGTCTCTCACTCCACGTCTCTCACTCCACGTGTCTCACTCCATGTCTCTCACTCCACGTCTCTCACTCCACGTGTCTCACTCCATGTCTCTCACTCCACGTCTCTCACTCCACGTGTCTCACTCCACGTCTCACTCTCCACGTCTCACACTCCACGTGTTTCACTCTACGTGTCTTTCTCCACGTGTCTCACTCCACGTCTCTCACTCCATGTCTCACTCTCCACGTCTCACACTCCACGTGTTTCACTCCACGTGTCTTTCTCCACCTGTCTCACTCCACGTCTCTCACTCCATGTCTCTCACTCCACGTGTCTCACTCCACGTCTCTCACTCCACGTGTCTCACTCTCCGCGTCACACACTCCATGTGTCTCACTCCACGTCTCACACTCCACGTGTCTCACTCCACGTCTCACATTCCACGTGTTTCACTCCACGTGTCTTTCTCCACCTGTCTCACTCCACGTCTCTCACTCCACGTGTCTCACTCTCCGCGTCACACACTCCATGTGTCTCACTCCATGTCTCACTCTCCGCGTCTCTCACTCCACGTGTCACACTCCACGTGTTTCACTCCACCTGTCTCACTCCACGTCTCTCGGGTCTCTGCGTCACTCCCTTCCTCTCCGTGCCCCGCTCCTCCGCACCGTTCACCCCGAGGTGCACGTGGGGCTGCTGCTGTGCGCACGCTGTGTTTGGCTCGGGTGTAGTTTGTTGACAATTAGTCAACCCCTGATCTCTTTGTCCCGCGCGCCCACCACCTCATCCTCCTCCCGCCACGTGAATAGTCGCTCCCACCTCTCACCACCGGCCGCTAGAGAAGCAAAACGGCACTGGGCATTTCCTGTCGCGCGCGGGGGTGGTGGGGGAAGAACCACGTGCACCGTTGCTCGTGAAGACCACAAATGGGTGAATTGTAATTTGTTGATCGGTCTTTGCTTTGCTCCAATGGTGAAACGAACATGAATTGTGTTGTGTTTACCACGATCGTTGTAGAAGGCTGGTATAAATGCTCATAAGTTCCAAAAGACCACTGTAACCTCACTGCAATGTATATACGTTGAAAGATTAAGACACGCTCGCATTGTGGAGTTTAAACTCGGGAGCGTCACGGCCCCATGGGGTTGGGAACCTTGTGTGACGTGAACACTCCCAACCGGACGCTGTTTTAACCGAGCAATAATCATTGCAATGCCCTCCCCCGCTACCTTTTAGAGTAAAAAAAAGAATATATATGAAAGGAACACACTAACCCAAAACGCGCGTGATGCTGGCTGTGATGCGGCAGGGATTGGCAGCGACAGGGTAAACCCTAGCAGGCAGGGGCCGGTCAGTGGGCCGGCCGGCCGGCACCCCCCCCCCCTCATCTCGCTGCAGTGAGGCCCTCGGTCGGGGTCGGGGTGGGGGGCAGCACGTGCCCGCAAAACCGTCCGCGTTTGCAGGGTCGCTCCGGTCTCCTGCCTCTGGGAGAGACGCTGGTGGCGGCTCGGCAAGGCGCACGGGCAGCGCAGGTCATTTGTACACGGCTGCAATTTAACGAAGCCATGTGTGATTGTGAAGTACCAATCGCGTAGTGGCTTAATGCCTCGTAAAGAGAGAGAGAGAGAGATAGAAAAACAAATTGAAACCTCAATTCCATGCCACAAAAACAAGCGTCGAGGGGGGAAACACGTTCTCCCGCTGCAAACGCGGCGCGTTTTTGTTGTTGTTTTGTTGTCTCCTGCGCTCCGAGGCCTGGACGGGTACGGCGAGGGCGACGACAATTGAGCAGCATCCGTGCAGGGCCCGGCCCGGCCCCCATGCGTTTAGGCCACCCGCAAATTACTCTTCGGTGGAGAAATACGGTTTTTTTTTTCTTCTTAAGTCCCTCCAATCCACCACGCTGGCATTTTAACGAACCGCTCTCAAACCTCTGGCGGCGGCGGCGGCCTTGGCTGTAGATTCGGACCGGTGGTGCGGGCAAACAAATGTTGGGAGCAAAGAAAAAGGCCCTCGCTGCAAACTTGATTTATGCAATTTCCAGGTTTGGGGGGCCGAGGATGAAATTCGGCTGCTGCTGCTGCTGCTGCTCGGTCGCCCTCATCACGACCGTGTGACGGAATTGCCGGCGGTGAACGAGGCAGGCTGGCGAAACTTATTTTTGTGGCTCCCCCCCCCCAAACAAAAATCTATATAAATATATTGCGTGCGTATGGAGAACGAGCAGAGTGTGTCGTCTGCAAATACGGTTCTGCTTCTTGGGAGATGTCGCGAAGGAGGACGAGGAGGAAACGTTGGCTTTTAGGCGCAGGTGTGTGCACGTGGTGTCCAGAGGGTGGTGGAGCACCAACCGCGTGCTGTCGCTCTGGCATCGTGGTCGTCGCCGCACGAGCGCTGTCCAGTAAAAGGGAACTCTAGAATCGCCTGCCGTCGACGTTTTGTTTTGTAATGCGCATCTCTTTAAGCTGCCCAAGAGGATGACGTCGCTCAAGCTGGAGAGGGATCGAGCGAGCGCTTCTCGGCACCAGGGGCCTTTGGCACCAGCTTGTTGGCCGCGTCACGGAAACTCACCACACGTGTTCCCCCGTAACATGCAGCGAGTCGATTGGCTTGTTCTTCTTGTTCGCTGTTCTTGTCAGTACTGATTGGTTTTGATCTCCGATGTTGAACGTTGATCGGCTGGATCCCGAGTCTCAATGTGCGGTTGAGTGGGTTATAGTGAGGACTGCGTAGCTCGTTATTAATGTTTTGTAATTAATTTACTCTTTAAAAGTTACTCTTTAAACACCAAGGGGCAGCAGCTCTTGCCAGCACGACAGCACGTTGGGACAACCTCTGGTGTTAGCACAACCCATTGAGCCATATTTTCAAAGATCACCAAGCGTGATGCGATGTTACAAAGGGAATTTTTAATGAGGACCTCACTGGGAACTTGTTTTCAGTTTATAAATAAATAACACGGAACACGTGGACGAGAAATTCTGGCAAAAAAAAAGCCAAAATGTACAATTTTGCCAATATAATGCCAAGCCGACTTTCATTTGAATTGGTTTAAATGTGAAAGG